CTTTGGCTTTGTCTACAATAAAATACAAGAAACGCATATGTTTGTGATTTATGTCTTATAAAAATATTTGACGATTGATAAAAATGAATATTTTTAATAGGTAGCATGCTCATTAAGTACACTAACGAGTAAATTGATGTACTTTCAATGCAGTGTTGCTGAATGGAACATATTATTTCCATGGCAACGAATACTGAATTTTTGTCTGAAACTATATATAATAATTGTTTTTATACATACACATATTATCTACAAACAGTACACGTCTCTGCAGAATGTTAATTGAATCATTTCGTCGTATGATTGCTTTGTGGCCGGAATTTCTATGTAAATATCCCGGGAGAAGCGATCCCCGTGTTACGAAACAATGGTAAAACTAGCAACGCGGCTGAACAGAAGTTTTAATTCATACGCTGTACGAACATTGTATAATACACGCGGGTATTTGTTATTCATAAGACACTGTAAGTGCTTCAGCTACTTTTCCCATTTATATGCTCCAATCGAACTTCTCGGATAATCGATACTGACTGGGAAACAGATAAATATGTATATTGAAACATGATTTTTTCATCGCGTGCGAGTAACAAAAGCATGACCGGGAGAAGGTGTTTCGTACGTTGAAAAAAAAGATTGCAAAATATATTTAATAAAATTGTCTGCTTCCGTAGTAATTAATCGTCTTTAACGATCAAGATGTTGCGAAGGAATTTTCTGAACGGTTGTATCCACGTTAAAAATTAATACTCGCGTGCTCTCAATAACACGTAAATTACTTTGAAATTACAATTAACACTAAACCTACCGCGGTCAAAGTGACCGCTTTCTTATTTTGCAATTCTGCTAAGTTCCGAGACACTTTCGTGGAAAACGCTTGAATAAGTTATATTATTGGAGCAAGTTTTATAATAAAAACTTTACAAATTCTAAATAAATTCGGTCTTCTCACTTTTGTGAAGCAGTACATGCCAGTTAGTATTACTGTTTGGTAGGTTTAGTGTTAACCTTTAATAACTTTAATATCATATTTACTCGAACCTTTTAATTTTGAATTAGGATTCAAATTGAATCCGAAAGCAAGCTATTGCTTTTCTGGACAAAAATGATCAGATTCCGATGCTATGAAAACGATACAATATTCTCAAAATACCAGTTAGTATTACTGTTTGGTAGGTTTAGTGTTAACCTTTAATAACTTTAATATCATATTTACTCGAACCTTTTAATTTTGAATTAGGATTCAAATTGAATCCGAAAGCAAACTATTGCTTTTCTGGACAAAAATGATCAGATTCCGCTCGTATGAAAGCGATACAATATTCTCAAAACGGAGGAGCAAGTTTGTACACGAATGCGTGAACACTATAGTCGAGAGTTAATTTATTTAAATAAAAAACGAGGCATGCCCTTTCGCAGATTTTCTACGTCGGACAGCCCGAAACACTATACCGTGGACTTCTGTTTCAGCATGGTTCCTGGGATGGTTCATGTGCAAAGCCGTCGCTTATATACAGGGCGTTTCCGTGGCGGCCTCTGTTTACAGCCTTGTTGCGGTTTCCTTGGACAGGTACGTGTGTCAGTGTGTGCATTGAACTTTTCAAAGAACCATTACGTCGGCCAGGCCTAGGTGGCGGCAATCACCCGAGACACGAATTCGTGCTCATTATCGAGAACACCGTGCGCGAACGATCACCGTGTCTCGCTTTCGACAATTTCGCTTGTCCGTCCATCCTGAATAAATTAGCTCGCTGATCGAGTCGAGAACCCTGCCGCATCATACGGAAATACAGTAACGTCTCCCTAATTGACGCTCAGATTGTCCACAAAAATAATGGACAATTTCGGAAAAGGAGATACAATTGTTCGAGCCTTGCGGCTCGTTTTTTTTATGGCTATCGATCGTCAACGACTATGAAAACGAGGTTGCAAGGCTCGAATAATCGTATCTTCTCTTCCCGAATTGTCCATTTTAGTGGACAATCTGAGCGTCAGTAAGGGAGACATTACTGTATTCCGATTCGGCCATTTAGGAAACCACGCGGCAGTCGAACGAAGGACAAAATCGAGACGCTGTAATCGACGAGTAGACGATTATCTCCAATTTTTGAAGGTCTACAGCAATGTCTCTCTAATTGACGCCCAGATCGACCACAAAAATGGACAATTTGGGAGGAGGAGGTACGATTATTCGAGCCTTGCGGTTTATTTTTGTAGTTATAAATTGTCCACAATTATAAAAACGAGCCGCAAGGCTCGAATAATCGTATCTCCTCTTCCCGAATTGTCCATTTTAGTGGACAATCTGAGCGTCAGTAAGGGAGACATTACTGTACTCGTCTCAATGTTCGTTGAAACTCGTTGAAAGTCGGTGAAATTCGTTGGCCGAAACGATTCCTCGCGACGAAAGTATTACATTTGCTTTCCTTAATATAGAAGTTCCTCCAAAAACTTCTCATTGCATAGTAAACCAGCCTCCCTAACGTCTCGAAAGAATGCAAATCGTTTCGGTGCAATTTTATAAAAGTTGTTCCATTTTAAAAGGTGTTCGTACACTTTTACTCAATTATTTTTATTAAGTATAAAAATTCGCAGTTTCGTTGTTCACGTCGCGGTTGATTTGATTTTTCCAGCAACAAACCGACAGAGAAAGTGGTACAACTACTTCTCCACATATTAAATAGTTTTAATTGATCTCCCAGTAATTTTCCGAAGACGATGTTCTTAAAAAGTGGAACAAGTCACGCTTTGTTAAGAAAAGAAAAAACAGAGCGTTCTTTGAAAGTATTCCCTTACAACGAGCGGTACTTTAATTAATTTGTCAACTTCAGCAATTTGTTCCGTTTCAAAAGCTACGAAAATTACAAGCATAATCGTTTCTAATGTTATTAAAACACGATACAGAAGTGCTTCGACGACGACGATGACGGGGCACTTCGACGATTCAAAGTGCACAAGCTGCGCTCGAAACACGAAGTTCGAGCAAATCGGATGCGAAATCGGCCCGTGACATATTTATCAGCGGCTCCGTAGGAGCGCGCCTCGTTTCGACTCGACGTCTAACAATGGCTCAATCACGACAACAACAACTCAATTATCAAAATAGCCGTGGTTGCGCAACACCTTTCATCGTCCGCGGCCCATGAATCAATGGAACGTGAGAACCCGTTGATGCGATATGACTATAACAGCGAGCACCGGTCTGCGGAATGCGTTGGAAACGAAGAAAACGGACAATTCATGCTGTATTACATGTTTTGCGAAATCACGGTGCGCCGGCTTGCAACACGCGATCGACGTATATTCCTCATCGGCGCGTACGTTTCGCATCTGCATACCGATCTTGCTCTCCGTCCCTCGTAACAATTACGAGAGTCGCGTTACACGAGCGTCTCCGTGTGTCCGCTTCACCGTCACGTTCCAGATGCGTCTAACGGACGCCTGCGTTGACAGATAATAGGAGCAAGGTGAGCACCGCATCGTCGAATCGGTAACCGGTTCACCGTAAACGGCGAAGAGACGTCGACGCGACGACGTCGGCGAACGAAACGTTCGCGACGTTCGCGCGAATTAAACGGAACGCTTGGATCGCGCGTCGACCTAATAATACCATCGCCTGCTGATTTACTTTAATTAGCGTCTCATTTTGCGACAGCTTTTTAATGGCTCTTTCAAAGTTAAACAGCTCCAGTCGGGAATTTTCTAAAAAATGCGTCTACACACCTTTTTGGTTTAATATAATTTATTATTATTTGAAAGAAAATTTCGAAGCTTCTTTTACAGCTCCATTATTAAAACGTTTATTGCAAACGTTTATTCATAATTAAAATGTTTTATATGCTGTTGAATTGTCGATTTTTCTGTACATTACATTTATTTTATACTTTATTTTATACTTTATTTTATTTTATTTTATTTCAATTTATTTTAATTTATTTTAATTTATTTTACTTTATTTTACTTTAACCTATCGACGGGAGAACGCGAGAAGAAATAATTCTAAGACGAGTTTTATCGACGCCACGTTGCCAGTAATATCGAGAGAAGCGACGTTGCCGTCGGAGCGATCCGATGCAGAGCTTGATAATGGTTCGCGGAGGTTTTACTTTTCGTCTTGACCCAGTAAAGAGATTCATCGAAGCAATAAGTTGCTATATAATCCCATTTATTTTCATGAATTATTCGAAGGGGACAAGAGCCGTCGCAACGACGAAAGCCGGGGCGCTCGGCGTTCAGTTTCCTTTATTTCATATTCCGCTTTAGAGCGCAACAATTACAATCGAGCTCCCTGGTTGTTCCCGAGCAGCTTGAAAATCGAGCGATCGGCGATGCCGATCGAAAAGCGCGGCCGCGAAATCGTTGCCGATCGAAGCGTAAAACTTCGCGACGCCGATGCAAATTTCTACTGACTCATCATATTGTTTGTTCTGCGTTTTCGCGTACCGACGAGTCGACGGTGTGTGTGTGTGTTTCTTTCGCGGCGCGATATCCCTGTCTTCAACGATTTCGTAAAGAACTGTACGCCGTCGGGGTGACGATACAGTTCGAACTTTCTAATTTATGAGTGCTAACCCACGGTCGGTTTGTTTGCGTTAATCGGCGGTAATCGAAGAGCGAACGCGAACGAAGAAACGCGGGCATCGTAAATGATTTTTATGGAACCGATGGAGAAATCCCGGCGGAAACTGGAGAGCGATGAGAACAAGACGAGAGGAATTTAGGTTTAAGTTCGAGAGAATGTCGATTAAAATGAGCAAAAAAATATAGCAGAAGATGTGTCTACTTTTTACTCATTAAATTTATACATTATTTTAATGATTTTATATCAGACTCGTATTTAGATCATATTTATATCATAAACTGTATGAAGATCGTGTCGAAAAAAAATCTTTGAAGACATTAGAAGAATTCGAGAATATTTTTGGATCATTTACTAAAATGATTAAAACAGGAAAGACATTTTTATCCGACAGAAATCTCTTACAATTAACTCGGACAATTTTTATTTCTTATAAAAATCCGCATCGTTTAGTCAAAACGATTAGACATTTTTCGATCGTAATTTCCTCGAAGAAAAAGACGATCCACATCTATCGTGCAAACACAGAATTTTTAAGAGGAGTAACATTCATACTTCAAAGAAAATTATTACCAAAAATCGCGATAACAACGTGAAACAAACATTGAAGAAACCGTCGAGAAAAGTTTCGGCTCCGAGATCGTGCGAACGCAGGAGCTTATCGGGCGAATAAACGGCACGATAATTATTTGCCACGGTCGCATTATCCGGCAAAAATTGTTTCCTCGATTATTATAATGATCCGGATGGCGCGTTGCCAGCGGAGAGGGTGCGCCCGCGAAAATCGTCCCGCGGAACTCGATCCTTTTTTCAGCCGGAGCCCTCGCATCCCGGATAACTTGGCATCGTTCGCAAATCCTGGCATCGTTCGCAAACTATGACGGCGTGTCCCTCGAACGGCAACAAGGTCGCCCATCATCCCTTTGAAAGCCCGAAACTCCGGGACCATGTTTCAAGCAAGTGTCCCGGACAGAGAGGTCTCGGGCTCTCGGAGAGTCGGCCGTGCCCGAAACTGGTTACAGTCGTTTTTCCCGGCCGATATTTGTCTCGCAGTGTCGCAATAAAACTGACGTACGCGCGTAACCGATGCCAAGATTACCTAGAGTTTCACCTTCGCCGTATGTTCCCGCTTCGTTTTGCTGCTTCGATTTTCGCAACACACGCCGACTGTCGCTTTTCCATCGACCGATCGGTTGCGAAACGTTCGCCGAAAATCCGCGCGCGCGCAATCCGGACACGATTTCGCGCGCTCATTTCGGGCCCCGTGGCCAGCGCGCTGCGATTCGTTCGTTCTGCTCGATAAACCCCAATAAAGTAGCGGGTGTACGTTCCGAAACGCGCGGACGCAACCGTTCTGTTCGGTAGAGTGAAAAGCTAATGAAAAGTTCGCGGGAACGCTTCTGGCATTCGGCGGCATTCCCGCGAGCCCATCAATCTGCTTAGAAATGAAATCGACGAGGTACCCGAGCTTTTACGTGCTGGACGTTACTTCGTAGTTGTCGGTGGACTATTTTCAATTTGTTCGAGCTGTTAAACGACGAAGGACATGTTTATTTAATGTGTCGTTTGAATTTAATTTACAAGGGGATGCTTTATTATACTTGAGCATTGTAATACTTTGTTTGCATGAAATTGTAAGTGTGTCCTCGTAAAATTTTATTCAATTTGTATATAATTCTGTAGATACTGCGTAAAGTTGTAAATTTATTGCGACAGAATTTTTGGTATAATTTGTGTACATTTTATAAACTTGATATAAATTGTATAGTTGTATAAAACTAATTTGATAAAATTATTTTAGTATTTGTGTAAGTTTCATGGATCTTAGAACATTTTTTTATATACCGATACACTCGTAAATATTTATGGATTGTATGTAAATTCTATATAATTTTATGAAAATTTTCTTCTAATTTTATATAATTTATATATAAAGTGTATACAATTTCTATAAAATTTGTACAATTTATATAAAACGTGTACAATTTATA